GGGGGGGGGGAATGGGGTGTAGAAAGAAACCGTTGCATTATTCAAATATTGTCACTACTACATGAAAACCCTTGAATGAAAGGCCATCAAGAGAGTGAAGTCCAACAGTCCTTAGATTCATGTCTCTCGCATTGCCCTGACAGCTTGAAACCTTGGTTCCTTTGGAAGGAACTTCTGCTCAGCATAAATCGACATGTAGTCTCCAAACACAAACTTGGGATATCCTTCTTCCACCTCCTGGTTTGCTTTATTCACCACCTGTGCTGCAGGACCTATGATGGCTTCCATTGAAGGGTTGTAAAACGAAGCAAGTGATCTCCTATTCCCATTTGGTGAGGGCAGAACCCGGTGCCAAACACTCTTGTATCTTCCATTGCTCAGGACCTCAATCTGATCACCTGTGTTGATGACTATGGAGTTCTGCAATGGCTGGACATCTATCCACTGCCCATCTTTCAGGATTTGAAGGCCTCCCACCTCGTCGTCTTGGAAGAGTAAGATAACACCACCAGCATCGGTGTGCGCACGGAGGCCGTTCACCAACTCCGGGTGTGGGCATGGTGGGTAGTGACTGACTTTGGTTCCAAAGAAGGCCTTGTCCAGCCCACCGCCACCATTGAAGGCAGCCTGTATGTATCCCTCAGGTAAACCCAAGTTCTCATCCATCACTGCCATCACTTTTGCAGCTAGCTTCTTCAGCTCCGATCTATACTCTGCCATGGTTTCCCTGCCACAATATCCGTGAGTTGCTTTCAAAACCTACTCTCTGTCTGTAAGAAAATTTGATTGCATGATTTAAGTGTAGGTGCATGCTTACTTGAATCCAGGAATGTTGGAGGGCCATTCGTTGTTATCATGGAGAAGGAAGACATCTTCCCAATCAAGACTTTCCAGCTTCTCGCCGCTCTTGCGTTCCAGCAAATCATTCAGGAGCTTCACAGGTTTTGAACTCTTGAAATTCTCTTCTCTTTCCAGCTTGTAGCACTCTGAACAAACCTTCTTCACCCTCTCTAGGAGCTCTTCTGGAATCCCATGGTTCACCAGCTGAAATTCAGGTAACATATATTTTAGTCCACAATATTATACAACATAACATTTAATGAGTGCTCATGTTCATGCTTTGGACACTACTTTAAAAACTTTAAAAACATAGAATCAGCGCTCCTTGCATTCAAACATTGACCAACCTAAGTATAACTCACTCGGTTAAGATATTATATTCCCGCCAAAAGTATCAATATTCAAATATATATCTCGTGAAAAATCATTTCTCAATGAATAGAATAACTAATAAGTTTGTGCGAACTACCTGAAAGAATCCCCATTCTTCACAGCCATTAGCTATCTGAGCCAATGTGTTGGCCCTTTCTTCGCCATCAAGCTTTGAGAAATCAATGACTGGGATTGCCATTAGAATTCGAAAACACTGTATTTTAGGAAGAGAAATTGAGAAAATGGGTAAGATCTTAAGGTGATGTAGTTGATAAGAGAGTTTCTGTTGGTGGGTTTGGAAAGGAAAGGGCAGTCCCTATTTATAAGGGCTTCCCTCCAACTTGGATGTCAACCCTTTGTTTATTAAATCCCTTTTCTTTTAAAATAAGAGCCCCCCTTGAAATGGGACGGTGACTTTTTTAGTAAAGAATTGTTCAATAGTCAATGCCCTCTGAAGTTCTATCTCTGTTTGTAACACATTGCTGAAGGCACTCAACTCTACGTGGGGTCCCACACACCCCGTCTTGTAATTAATTAAATCGTTGCCGACTGTTTTGATTGGCTCTAATCTCTTAAAACTTGGAGGCTACCAATCATGGGGCTACCATGGACAAGTGCATAATCATTTTATAATGATCCGATTGCTTGATGAACAAATTTTTATGTTTTAGTTCTTAATCAGGGGTATTATTTTTTAATATAAGTCTTATTGTTCTAAAATTTATACCATTTTTTTTTTTTTTTTGTCATTGTTTAGATTTATTGATGATACTATGGTAAACTCATGGCCGTGGCATAATTCTTGTTAAGCTGGCAAGGTGGAATTACGCAACCCTCAACTGAGGTAAGTCTTTAATCCTTCTAAATGTTTATGATATCGTCAAAATTTGAATTTTCTTTTAGGTGGGTTTACTATGCTATCACGTTTAATCAATCAATAGGAAGGGTGTAATCGAGCGTTTTTAAATGGTAAGGACTAAATTGAAATATTACCTAAATATTAAGAACTAAAATGTTTGATAAGGTTAATAGGCATGATATTAATCTTTACTTAAAACATAAATCTATGCTGACTACCTACTGTTGATTATGTTGACTTTTGATCTTCTAGGTCCTAACTATTTTATGTTGACTTTGATTATCAATGGTTTACCTAAATATTTAATTACTTCTTACACTAATTTGAAGGCATAGTTTGTGGGTTAAGGAAAATAGGCTGCATCGTATCATGGCTTTTAAGTTTTAATATACATAAAGGGAAATAACCTTAATTATTGGATTAAATATTAATAAAATATTTAATAGATAATCATAAATTACACACTTTTGGTTGGCCTATTTTTGTAAATCACCCTATTTTAAAATAATTTTTAACACTTTATGTGGAGTGGGAGACAAACAAATCACAGATTGAAATAGAAATTAAATATAAATAATTTCAAAATCAAATTCATATCAATGAGTCAAGTGGGAAGGAAAAAGCCATATAGATGCTTCCAAGTGCAACTAAAAAACTAGAAAAAAAATTATAAAATGTCTTATTTATTCATTTATTTTAAATAAATGATTGTAATTGTTAGGCTTTATTTTTATTATTTTCTATTATTTTTTTATGTTTTAAAATAAAGGGGAATAATGACCCATAATTCATTATGCATTGCAATGTATACTTGGCAAATCCATATCCTTTGGATTTGATTCCAAGTGTTGCAAGTTTAGGGCCCCAAGTATCTGTATAAAAATTTAAAATACAAATAATCATATATGTCATTTTTATTAATTATTTACATTATTTTTTAAATAGTATTTTCTTTTCTCTCTTATTTCTCCTTACATTAGAGCAAGAATGTTTTTTACAAAATAGTGGTTTAATATTTCTTAATATTTTTATTTAATGGAAAAAAGAAAGTAGAGGATATTGAATGTGATAGGCGTTGAACAATATTTTTTGTTCTGATTGGAGTATTAAAATAACTAAACGACATGTTTGTTAAATTTTGTTGATGTTTTCTTAATGTAATTTTGCTAATTTGATTTGATTTGATTTGTAAGTTAAAGACTTACAAAAGAAAGCACGAAGAAAAAAAGATTCTTTGCTAAAAGTTTCTAATTATTTGTTGAATGGAACATGGGTTCGTGTATTTGCTTTCATGCTAAATCACTAATAATGGACTAAATCACTACATTTATAAAAATATAAGAAAAAACAATAAAACAATTAAAAGTAAAATATGTAAAGCAACATTTTAATGCATCAAAATTAAAGGGCCCTTTCTTCCATTTTAATAACTCTGTTTCATTCAGACCACACATGGAGCCTAAGTAATGCTTTTCTTACAAACCACAACATTTTGTCTAGGTTGCCTGTATCTACACAGATTTCTTGTCTTTTTTTTATTTTTTATTTTTTATTTTAATTAATTATTGTTTAGCTTTCATATTTTTTTGTATTCTGATTCCTTTTTAGCTTTCAAGTTTTGTATTTGATTAAAATACACCTTTCCATTTTACTTTCAAATACTTCCATTATTGTATTTTCAATAAATTTTAAAATCAGTCTCCAAATGTTAGTTTGTAAATACATATATATTGAAAATCTAATTATGCTGTATTTATTTTTTTTAATGAAACTAACATTTTAACTTTATATATATTTTTTTAATTTACTTTATTTTCATTATTGAACAAAATTTATAAAATATGGGTCTAAGAATTTTCCGAAAAAAAAAGAAAAAAGAAAAATGGTAGCATGTTCCATTGGGATTGTATTAATGAGGGAATATTCTTCTTGGCTGGAAAACTATATATTAAAACTCATAATTTGCTAATAAATTATATTTATTGTTCATCAAAACCTACTAAATCAGCTACTAACACCCAACACTCCCTTAATTATTATTCCAACTCCCATTATGATTACTCAACTAACAGTTTTAAATAAAGTTTCTATGAACTTTTTAAAAAAATATTAAAACTACTCTTAACGATAAAAACACTGTCGGTACCCCTATCAAATGAACGGTAAAATCTCATTTATTAAACTTATAAACCATACTCAAAAAGTAATTTTTAATAATTTATCTTGTTTTTAAAATTTGACTAAGAATTGAATTTTTTCTAAACGGTAAAAAATGTAGTAAAGAATTTGCGAGGAAATTGGCATAAACTTCAAAAAATAAACAAGATCTAACTTGTAAATTAGCAAGGTACACACCAGCTAGCTAAGAGCACAGTTCCAACAATTTCTACGAGCCAAGAGTTCAATGTTTCTATACAACATGGAACAGTTTAATCAAATATTTACAGTTGCATACTGCTACTCAAAGCTTGCATTGTTTGACTAACCACATCCAACAGCTGCAAATATTCATCCGCACCATCAACCAGACACTGCAGATTGGCATAGCAACAATGTTGGGATGAAATAAATGCCATTCCAGAATATTGTTGGGTAAATTTCCATTTTGTATCCATGTAATTTTCAATCAAGATTAAAACCAACATTAAATGCAAAGATAAGATGGGCTACTCTTAATGTTAATATATATATATATAGATATAGATATAGATATATAGATAAAAGATTGGTAGAATCTATCGACTCTAAGTAGTAAATTCCAAATTACAATTTAAACTAATAATGTAGCCAACTTGATGCATACTTCACATGAACTTTAGATAGCAAAAATGCAATAGAACATGGAAAGAGATAGAAGTGACCTTATCTGCTTCAGCCAACTTCTTGCATATCTTGGCCTTTTGTTCATCTTGCAAATCATGGGCTTCAATAACCACCTCAAATATCTGTAGGAATCATATGAGTTTTGTCTATCTACGTTCATCATTTGAAAATACAATAACATGATATAGATTGAGCAAGAAGAAAACCTGTGAAAGCATCTGAGCCACAGGATATCCTTCTGCAATTACATTATTGACTTCCTTATTTGCAAGATCGAAGTTACCACTTTTACAAGCAGCAAAAAGCTCATCAACAACCTCCCGTGGGATAATCTGCAAATGATAAAAATAATTATAGGCCATACTTTTGAGAACAAGAAAAAGAACCCATCCACTATCGAATTTCCAAAAAGCCTAATAATCTAGTAAATATTATAATCAATGGCAGAAAATGGAACACCCAGAACTCGTACAACAGAAAAAATAAAATTAACAGATAGCATCTTGTTTATTTGTGGTCATGCACCGATGCTACAGTTGAAGAGATCATGAGCCGGGAAGGCATATACAGATAGCATCCACATTCAACAAGAATGGGAGCAAAGTGAGCCATTATTAAGGACAATCATTTTTAATTATCTGTGTTGAGTATTCTAGGGATGATAACTTATCAAAATTTCACATAACTCACCCCAGACACGCTAATCAGATCCTTGGAAGATATTGATGACCCAAATAAGCGTGCAGCTGACTGGAGTTAAAAAAGAAAGAACAAGAAAAGGAAGGCAGTTAGAAAAGATTGAAACACTTGCTTCAAGAAATGTACAATAACAGCAGTAATGAATTCTTAAACAAACTTCATTCTAAAGATCCAGATTAATAACTACAACAATTGAGCTTGTCTATGAGCAATTGGATTTATTGCCCATCAAATTTTCCCGTAATCTGATTCTATGCATTAAAGCAACATCAGCTCTTCTCACCCTCATTTGTCTCTAATTTTCCGTTCCGAGGGATATCAGAGTTAGACATCATGTACCATTGTTGGTTATAAAATTTAAAGCAGAAAATTGTTTGCAGTCCCAACTGGTTTGCAACACTATGAAGTCTAAACACTAATGCGATTTTTATCAGTACACAGACATGGACAAAGGAACTGCAAGGATACGTCAATAGTCTAAAGTATAACATTGTCAAATTATAGTAAAACATGTGGTTCTCTTCCCTTTAATTATCCAAGCTCCTAACATGATCATGTTTAACATGACAGTGAATATAAAAAGAAAGGTTGTAAACCTACAAAATGTGCAATGTTGCAGACTAAATCAAACCTGTAAATATGTGATAGCTCGACGCAGGTCACCTTGAGAGATTGAACCTAAGGTTGAAAGAGCCTATACAGATTGCAAGTTTACATCACATCGAATAGCTTATTTCAAACGATAATTTCTAATACTAAGCAGCAAAGAGCGAACCTCTCCATCTAGACTTAGACCTTCTTCATTGCTAATGTGCAATATACGCTTGCTCATAACCTCTTCAGAGAGTGGCTTAAACCTGAACTTTGCACACCTTGATGCAAGGGGCTCTATAATCCTACAGAAGTGGAAAAAACACTGAGATGACAGTTAAGCTTCCCCACACTAGCACTCGATCCAAGACGAAGTAAAAATAGCCCATGGTAGAAGTCATGAGCAATTAAGAAATCAAATGTAACCATATAGAATGCACAACACAAATAGATACAACAATTCTGTAAATTGAACAAACGTAACAAAAATATGTACATTCATTTGCATGCCTCCATAAAAAAATAATTAGATGATTGTGAAGGTCAAAACTTCATGAAAGTAAGGTAGCAACTGGTTTGATATTATCATGTTCCTGCCCATCCACAATCATGACTCCCGTACTCCTAGAGAATTCAATTTAATGACAATTAGATTGAAATCTAGTTAAAAGCTATAATGGTCATCTACTATTGTTTTCAGAGATTTGAGTGTCATGCCCTCTCTCTCTCTCTCAATGATTTTTCCAGAGGCAAAATTACCACGAAGTCTCCCAATGCTCTTTCATAAATGGCTTAAACATAAAACTCTTATGAGCTACGATTATTAATTTACTCCATAAAAGGTCAGAGACTGTCATAAATATCAAAAGCACAGATCAACAAACAAAGTAAACAACAATAAATTGGAGACTGTCGTGAACATTAAATAATAATAATAAATCAAGAAATAAATATCTACAATAAATTAATAAAGAGAAAGATAAAAATGCAAGAAAAAGGAAGCTAAGCTTCACCTGCTGATATAGTTGCATATAAAAAAGAATCGTGTTACATTGGAGTGTGTTTCCATGGTACGCCTCAGGGCATTCTACATAATGTTTCAATATTAGGAAAAAATTAAAAAAAATAAAGTGTATCTATACTAAAGCAAATAGATTGTGTTTAGACTGATGATCACACCTGAGCATCTTCAGTCATTGAATCAGCCTCATCCAGAATGATTATCTTGAATGGTGGGCAAGGATAACCCCTAATTTTTTTCATAAAAAAAAAAAAAAAAAAAAAAAAAAAAAAAA